AGGTGATGGGATCAAACGAATGTTGGATGTTTGGATGAAGTGGGTGAAATCGGCCTGAAACGGTTCTCTATTAGGGCCTTTGATGTTCCTTGTGGAGCAATTCCGAATTTCACACTTTGCATTTAAGTTGGCTGCTTTCGGACCCAAGCTGCCCCATTGAGACGATTTTCAAAATTTTCAGGAAACTGTCACGTCATTGGTTGTTGACTGGACAAAATCAGTAGAACAATGAATACAGATGTCACTTCTGCAATAAAAATTAAAAAGATCACACAGTGTATCCAATCTAATGTCAAAAGCACAAATGAATAAAGCATCACTAACCGGATTTATGATCCACAAACGTCTTCGTGAACGTCGATAGCACCTTAAAGGCCTATCCGTTGGCTTCAACAATGAGTTGGACAGAATATGTTTCTTGCCACATCGACTGACGCACTTTGGATATACCATGTATTCCTGTGCACAACTTTTCTTACTGGCCTCCTCTGAAATAAGTCCGTAGTAGTGGGAGCGGTTAGCCACTATTTTACTAAGTCACATTTTATTATGAAGGCAAACAGACGGCAATGTATTGTTCTGGTTTTAATTTCTTCAGTTAAATTGGCACAACATAAAATTAAATTCAACTTTAGTTGCTTGAGAAAGTAGGATAAAATAATGACGTGCATCACACATTATAAACATGAGCTTTCTGGATGTACTTGATTTCAAAACTTCAGAAATATCCCGTTGGAAATAGGTTTACTTACAAGTGTGTTCAACCTCCAAGACTATGCAACCAAACCCGCCTTACGAAAGGGGTTGTATGAAGTGAACTAAACTGAAACAGGTATCAAAGCATCATTCTATGGCATTTCTGTCAAATATGCACTTTATTGCCTGCAAACATCAGTTGCAATCATTTGACTTTTCACTGTGGAAAGAACTAGATGGATTGACCTGACCTCGATTGGTGATTTCAGACCACGGCCAATCACAAGTTTAGCCATTGGCAGCTCCAACGGACACACACCGTTTCAATCGGACTAGTATTTATATGCGTCTAACTGGATAAAGATTGGTGATTTCTATTCGCAATCTTCAGTTAACGCTTCCAACTCCATATTATCAACATTTTTCTCTTCATCTGAAAATGAGATGCTTCGGATGACGGGAACCGCTTTGGCAATACCAATGTTTGTTCTCTTTTTCAGTTGAACTTTTATTCTGCAAAATGAACCTCCGAGTGTGTCAACAATGGTTTCTGCACTATTCTGATAGTGTTTCACAATTTCGCTTACTTAGTTGGTAAATGGAAATGTTTTATATATGTTCATTGCTCATCCATTAGGTTGAGGTTTTAAGGCAATTTACCAAGTAAGTGGTTGTTACAAAGCACTAAGCTAGAAAATTGTTTTTCCTCAGGTTCTATCAGTTAGTGGATGATATTGAATATTAGTCTTTATGAAAAATATATTTTGTTTTCTCTCCGTGCGAACAAGAGATAAATGTATGAGCCGAGTTTTAGGTTTGATCAGCGTGCATTCGGATTAGCGGTAATTCAACATGACAATAGTGTAACTTTATTTGATAATCAATTGTTATTGTTCACATCTTCGCCTATCCCATTTTGGAGGTTCTTTGTGTGAAAATGTTGTTTTGTTAATACTGGCTTTCATATTCTACTTAGGCGATGGTTACAGATGGAATGTCAGATGAACATTTTGGAGACTACCTTTATCATCCTACCAGTCTCTCTGTCAACCCTCCTCCTACTTGAAAGCTTTATTCGTAAATTATCAATCATTGTAGATTTTAGTATGCTAAAGCAATACGTTCTTAGTAGAAAAAAATGAGATAGGCGTAATTTAAAAGAAATTGAAAATGGAACGTGTAATTCGAAGGCTATTTATGTCAAAGTTGAGCTCATGGTGTTTAGTGAAGGTGATCGATGACTGTGTTCTCTCTCTGGTGGGATAGATATCATTCGGCAACCTAAGAAGCTCAGCTAATCCGTCTGAAAATTTCACGTCTGAGTTTAGACTTGTGTCAAACACGTAACGCTAGAGCAATCTCTACAACGAAGATGAAGGTCCGTGATTTTCAGCTGAGCGAGATGCTGACAGGATCCGCAAGCTGAGTAGTTGAATTATTCACCGGAGCATTCGACTAACCAAAGGTTGACCTACAGGACGTTTGGGTTGAGAGCGAAAACCGCGATCCATTTGTATGTTCTAATAACCTTCAGAGCTACGTCGACAAAAAATCACAGTGTGAAAGAGAAATAAAAATGTACATTCAATTTTTAGGAGAGGGCCACGGCCATACAAAAGCTGCCTGAGGGAATCTATAAATTTGTAGATGTGGAAACACGCCATTCGCACGAGGTGATTAATAGACCTCGCTTTACAACTAACCCATTGATCACTGTCAAAGCCACTTACCTATTGACGTGATTGGTACTTCTGTCTTTGATTGGTTGACAGTAATATTCTTTTATCCAACTCTCCTAGGTGCTGGTTTTATAACCCGTCATAGCCGCGTACATTGGCTTTTTTTCTCTCTTTGCCGCGTAAAAGCAGTAAAAAGAGCTTCCTCAAAACTGGAAATTTAAGACGCCTGGTCATACAGGAACAGTTTGCGGAAATCACTTCTAACCAAAAACGTCCATACCCGACAGTGCTAAGATATTTTTGAGGAATACTTTCATGTACTTCATTAATATTTAATTTACAATTTGTAATTGGAGGAGCTTATCTCATAATCCTGATGCAAATCATCAGTCATTTCCGATAAAAAATGCATAGATCACTTTCAGAGATATTTGACTCGAATCGTCATCGATTTTCTTTCTTTGTGGCCAGATAGATAGTTTGTATATTTGATTGAAAATAATCCTCTTATTTTATGAAATAAAAGTATTCTTGATTGCTTATCTATCTAGTTGATGGTTTATCGTATCCCAAAAAACATCGTTAACGTTAGTTACATTAAAATGCAATTTCAAAATGACGATAGAAAACATTTCTGATAGTCTGGTTGCCGTGATCAATTCGCAGGTTACACTAATTTATTTTTGGTGCCTCGAGAACGGTGACAGTAGCCGTCGGCAAAATGTATTTGGTCGTTCAACTACGTTTTCGGGTATTTTCGGCCTTCCGATTTCTTTACTGTCACGTCGCGGTTAGTCGAGTTACGCGATAACAAACGGTACNGCAACAGACAGTTAAAATGCGTCATGCTCAGCTTTGCCGTTTTCTCGCTTATAACTTCTTCCTGTAGTTTTTTTCGTCGTAGAGACAATTGAAAACCTCAGTCTCATCTCTGTTTGTTCCTTGTGGATTTTTGTCTTATAGTGTCTCAAGCACCACGTTAAACGGGAAGGACTGAGAGTGTGAGTCGGAATTATTGGCTTCCAGATATCGCTGCGAAGGGGCGTTGTTGACGAAAACACAACTCGTAAATTGCTGAACAAGAATACTCATCATAAAAATTAGAGCCAGTACTTACTGATATAATCCGAAGCGTGAAACCGTGTCTTTCCTTCCTTTCGGGAGTGATATAAACCTGCTCCCCCACCGTCCACTTTCTTCCCAACCATTTCTTGTCCGATGTATTCGGCCAAGTCATAGGTAATTCGACCAGCTTTGGCAGTCAAAAGATGTATGTCTACTGGTCTGATTAGTCTTGAGGCACTCGATTGTGGATGTTTGGGTTGCACTATCTCAGCAGGGATCAAATTCCTCGTACCACTTCTAATCAGGTGTCGCAGAACCTCCTCCTGTGTTTGCACTCTCAAATCGGATTGCTCATAGCCAAATTCATCTGGCTGATATTCTTGGTCAGCTTCGTCTTGTCGCTCTTGATTCGTAATGGACGAAGGATATTTATTATTGAACTTTCTTGTCGATTTAACTTTTTCTTTTGACCGAAAGCGTACATGCTTTTTTGGAGCATCAGCAACAGGTGACGTTTTGTTAATTTTTGATTCTGGATGACCGCTTTTACATCCACTGTTTTCAAGATTTGGTAGAGTAGGAAGCCTTCTATTTCCAAATGGGTTTGTTTTCAGTGATATGGATTGACTCGAACCGCTATCGCGTGCACGTTGAACAAAATGTATTCGACGTGTTCTTCTGATGGAATCGTTTCGTGGTTCTGATTCTACACTCATGTTTATAATTTGCAAAGCGTTCAACTGAGTGACTGAGAGATAAGGAAGACTGGATTTTTATTTGGTCTTAACTGAACATGGGCCGCAGTGCGTTATATTCAAAAACACAAAAAATCGATTAATCACATAAACTAGTTTTGTTTACACCTACCGTCTGGGGAATAAGTATAATACTGAGCTTTACCTCCTACCTAAATCATCGCTTTTGTTCAAATTTTCTGGCTACCTGGCTTATTATGTAAACACAGCATTCAACCTTTTAGTTTTCAGTTTCTTTAAAAGTCTATCTTTTCTATCAAAATTTTTAAGTTCCGTATGATTCAAACGGTATTTTTAAAAGAATTGTTGAATTTTTGACCTATTGTCACTAATAACACTTGTGTATAAAACCTAATGGCGTTCAATTCACTGAGACTGATCAATGAGGTGATATTGATAAATGCATTATTAATGGCTGTAACGTATTATTATTATTATTATCATTATTATTATTGGATTATTCTCTATTAAGAGTAGTTTGGTATTTTTATTCAGATAAATGGAATTGTATTGTTTATTTCTCGGATATAAATAAACTCTCTCTGTACCAGGAAACTTATTCACGGTTTATTTTTATTATTAAATAAATCTTGCTCTCTCATCACAGCGCTATCAGCTGATCTCTGTCATCCGCGAGTGACTTGCAACTGGAATAATCGATAACCCGTTTGAATACCCGCCAACTCATTCTGTTCCCCGGATTGAAGCTACACACATTGGGGCATGTTGAGTTAAAGTTGAGTCAGCGAATAAGTTGCAAACCACCATAAAGGAGCCATCATAAAATCAGCAGGCCTAATAAAAAATGGCCATGGATATATCCCGCCTAATCGCACCATTCGCTATGATCACGACACCGGATTTTCACACGGTGAAAATTGAATGGTTTGACAGTTTGGACGAGCTGGAAATGGCGGGTCTAAAATGTGCAGTCGAAGTTTCCATTCGAAAAGTGGAACACACCAACTGGGAAGTGATCTATTTGTGAGTCCCAGAAAGCATATAGCGTGATGAATTGTAATTTAAGGGGGCGCAGTGATCAGTGTCTGTATAATAAAATGGAACCTGGAATGGAATATTTAATACGCCTGAGACTGAACTTAGGCGATCAGTTTGGACCTTACGGTGAGGAGCAAAAGATCGAAATGCCACCGGAACCCAATACTGGATCAGATTTGCACAAGGCTATCAAGTACGAGGATGTGGATCAGCTACGTACCATTCTCGATGCAGGGTAAGTTTTATCGGATATCCACATTACTTATGGTGAATGTTATAGTGTTAATAACACATCGATGTCGGTAGAGAATTATATTCGCCGATGTTTCGGTTACCGTGGGTAATCTTTCTCAAGACAGGCTTTACAATCAAATGACTCAGAGGAAAGGATCACAAGTTAACGGATATTTCATCGTGTGTATGTTTGTCTATGTGTGTGTGTCACACACACTTTGATTGTAAAACCTGCCTTGAGAAAGATTACCCACGGTAATCGAAACGTCGGCGAATATAATTCTCTACCGACATCGCTGTGTTATTAATACTAAAACATTCACAACAAAACAACAAATGGCGCATCGATTTTTCGATACACTCCAAACATCATTTGGTCACGATGTGTTCACATTACTTAGTTACGAACAAAATGAAGAACTTCACACGCTTTCTATTGGCTGAGAGGATGATAGGCTGGAAGCCACATATTGTTCTATCCAAAACATTTTGCATCCTAACCTTGTAGCTGCGCACAGCTTTCAACTTCTTCCGTGCGCCCATTCATTATCAGTTCGAAAGACTGAAACCTAAACCTGTCCACAAAGGTGAGAGGTTGATTTCTGAAACTGAAACTATGCACTCAATTGAATAAGTAGACAAGTAGATGACCAAAATTAATGATTTTTCAGCATATGACCAAAAACCTCATAAATAGGATTCGCATTTAACTCAAAGTTACTTGTGAGCGGTGGTGTGGGATAATTGATATTGATTGATTTGAATGACTATCCTTCGGATTTCACCTTCACACATAATCCTCAGTCCATCGATTCAACCATACACTCGGAACCACTAGACTCGAGTTTTGCTCTTATTAGGGCTCATCAGTAGTGCATATCTACCATCCTGTCCGGTATTTGAACTCCGGACCCATCAAATGGAAGGCCTGTGTTATAACTTTGCAAACTAGCTCATGCCATGGCTGAACCGAATTGCCGGTTCATGTTTGTTCATGTGTCGTCTTCAGTGATAGTCAGTCAGCTCCAATAAGAGCGAAACTCAAGTCTGTTGCTTCCGAGTGTATAGTTGAACCGATGGACTGAGGATTGTGCGTGAGGATGAAGGCCGAAGGATAATCAGTAAAATCAATCAATTTATCAATAACGCTTCTTCAGATTTTAACTGATCAACTATTGTGAACCACAAAACGCCATCGTACACACTATATGAAGTTGTCCACCATTGAAATGGTGTAAATTTTTTTCAATGAAAGGAACTGACGAGATTTATAAAAATCCATTTTGTCCAGTACCTTTGATAAAAGCTGAATAGTTATCAACAAGTATCGTGCTGTAATACATACGATCGTCTGATTTCGAGTTACTGCAAAATGAAGTAAAATAAAGTAATGACTAATTTTGCAGAAACGTTCTTTTTTGAATGGCCTCAGAAGCGCATTATAAGTTAGTTTCGAAAATAAATAAACTAACTAATGCCGAATTATTTTGTTGAAAATAATACTGTGTGGGTTTAATTGAAAGCAAAATACGAGGAAAAACACTTAATCAGGGATGTCATAGAAGTGTATTGACTGTTATTTGATAAAAATTCAGTAACCTATATTTTGATGTTGAAAACTTTTTCTTAAGGAACAAAATATCTGCATTAAAAAAAGAATGATCATCAAGCTTGAAGGGTTTAGAGTATGTCCAATCAGACTTTAAACCAAGTAATCGTGATCATTCAAATTTGTAACCGAGTAAAGTTTATTTCTGTATTCTTCATGCTGACACAAAATATTATGAATATATGAAGATAGGAGTAACATTTTTATAGCTCACTCACTTGGAATTGAAAAATGACGAGGTTTGAGATGACCCTAGGNCTACCACAAGTATTGGTTCATTGCTACTAGTTTTGAACAAACACCGTTTGGCGAAACAATTGTTTTTCAGTAATTCCTTCTCAAGCTGTTTACAGATTACATAGTTAACATTAGAAAACAGATCACGCAGTTAGACACATCACCAATCATGTGTAAGAGTTTGTCATAGTCAACTGGCATTTGTCATTTGATTGGCTTAACTAAGTTACGGTATCAGGGTAACCGGACGGCGGACACAATCGGGACCGATCGATCGTGGGCCATGGAAGTTGAAGTGGCTGAACCAAACGCTTTTGGGCGCAGAGGTCAGGGGTCAACTTTCTTATCCCGATCGCTTCGGCTATTGCTAGAGTGCGCAGTCGAACACCCTTGCACTTGGTGTGGGGGACACGATAAACAACTCTGAAGGCGACGTCCGGATTTGCTTGATGTCCAGTGTCGACTAAATGGGCTAGGATGGAGCTGTTCATTGTTCCGGTCTGTCCTAGGCCTGACGCCAAAATCTAATGAAGCACTGGAAGAAACCTAAGAAGATTGACTTCATTGACTAGTTTAAAACAACGCAATAGCTTCACAAACTCATCCGAGGCTGATTCAATCACTACAAAGCCCATGGTCTGAACTTCATCTGAAATTTTATGGCGTTAAAGTTCCAATCACTCTATGGATGATTCCAAGGAATGAGGTCTACATAATAAATTTTATCTCTAGGAAGTAAATAAACGTGGTATTATTATTTTTAAAAGAAATTTTACTTGATTAATCTTGATTAATTTAAATTCTTCAGAGTTACTTAGTTTCTTCATTCAACTACAACTATTAGACGGAAAGAATAACATCACTTTGACACTGGAACAAATAGTGTTCACACATTTCCGGATGGTAACTTTGACTTCTCTTTGATTAGTCTGACATTTCCCCCAACAATGGCATTTTATACAGCTCAACATGTAATGAACGCGAAAAGGTCACTCAAATAATTCAAAGCTATAATAAAAACAGATTTTTTTATGACCTTCATCAAATCAGTTAAGTTTCACTAGCGTTTTCGAGGCTGTGTGGCCTTCATAGTCCTTAGAGGTCCACAGTTTGATCTAAATGGCAAAGCGATCTGAGTCACCTCAACGCAGGTTGTCACCCAAACGCAGTGTTTAAGGAACCGCATGGTGTTCACAAAGACCCGAATAATGGAATAGCAAATTCAGTGACAAGTTTGTTTTTGGATCTTCAAAACGGACAAATACAATACACAAATTGTCTTAGTACTGACCTTCTTCTTAGTCATTTGATTAAATATTCTGAGTGAGTTAACCGCGTTTTTTGACTGCTATTTGAATGCGCTCTACTTAGTCCCTTATCTAACAACGACAATGAGGTAATCGCTGCTCTGTTTTACAACTGCGCGGAATATTAAGTATATACTGATACATAAATAAAACGATACTAAATATTCACGTAAAATATGCTTTTAGTCATTTAATTACATGGAGGTTGCTTTAAGCAACATATATCTCCTTTGGTAGCTCCAAACGTTACGGTCCTGCAAATATTCCTTTTACCGAAAAACCGATTACGCTTGGCTTGTTATTGCACTCATTTTTATGTGGTTAATTTTGCCTTCTTGCGGTTCCGTGCATTTCACAGATCGAGATATAAAAATATTTATTTATGTTTGCTAGATGCTAATACAATCTTTTTTCATATGATATACATCCAAAAAGCTGACTTGAAATAAATCCATGGGTTTAAGGTTGCAGAATCAGATAAGTTGGTAGGTAGTACCTTAATTCCCTGTCTGGGTGTGCAGTGAGCGCTGTATTTTTAACGAATAATTTTCAATATAAATTCCACGATAGGAGATTGCTTCTTGATCGAAATTCTTATGATAGGACTTCGATGAAGATTGCAAGGTAAACTGATTGTTTCATGGTTTGCCTCCAGATAACAAACAAACAGCCGATGTTTTGAACAATTCCAGTAGAACGTCTCTTTTACAGTTCCCTTTATTCTCTTTTCAATTCTGTACAAGGAACACAACTATTATTTAGCACGGCCGCACAGTAGCCTTTTCTTTTCATCACGGCTGATTTGGTAAAAAAACATCGTAAAATGTCGTTGTACCATTTGTGAGTCAATCGCACACTGATATATACAAATATGCTTTTTATCAACTGGTGCCCATTCTTTTTCTGTCGCTCACCACCTACCGGATATGACAGCATGTTGTTTAAATATTTCCTCCTGTTATCCACAAACACCCGAAAATTGGTGTCATATTGTTCTGGCTTTCTCAATTAAAAAAATATCAAAAAGTGTACGCTGAAACACAAAAATTTGTTATTCTATTTATGTACTATTTTCCGTCTTAAATATTTCACTTCATTCTGTATCCCAATCCACCCATCCCCTATCCACAAGCCAAAGTTATATACATATATATATGCATATATATTCAAATTATATCAGCCACCCACCAACTGCATGTGACAAGTAGTACCGGTAAACTTCTCCGACGTTTGTAGTGAACGCCTCAAAAATATATCCCATTTTTAGAGAAATCCATATTTTCCGTACTGCTCCCGATCTTATTTAACGTTTTCCAAAAGTGCATTTTTTATTTAACAAGAACAATTGGAACACACTGCATCCCGGACTGACAGAATATTGAATCGATTGCTCCCTTGCAAATCGGTTAGGCAACCACACCCACATATTTCACAAGCATATAGCCGTTCGTTGAAATCTTTCAGCTCCATCATGGTGGTCGTGAGTTCATTTTATTCCTGACGAGTTTTGATTGCACGAATAATAAATTTTTTGATTAAAATATGCAAACACATCACGCGCAAAGCTGATCTGCTTTGTATAATTTTGCTTGAGAGCTGAAAAGATTATGAGAATGTTGACACGAACATTTTGGCCGTCACACCTATTTGGATCGCTCACCTTCATTCTTTTTCGCCCTCTGGTTTTATTACCAATATTTTGGTTGCCCAATAAGTATTTCATACTGCTTCAGGGGCGATTTTTCGAACGCCCAATTAACCTCTGCAAAGTCAAGTGATTTCGTACAGGTGCGTGACATGAATATATAAATTATTCACGCCTGACGAGAAAATACTCGGAAATTTCAGTAATCATATCGCAATTCCACCAAGACAAAACTAGTTGTGGCGCAGGGACATTGACGAAAATAGACAGGTTAATCACCAAAGTACACGATCAAAATTACAATTAAGAATGTAGTGTAGGCATTTCACTTTTGTGAATCGCATTATGGTAATCCATTTAGGATGGGTATGAAAACTCCCTAAGGTATTGACGAACGGAGATTGAACTTTTGCCAACCTACGCAGCTCTCAGCAGTTGTGTCTACCAGGTTCGGTTAACAACAGCAAATCAACAATGTCGATCAAGTTTGTAAAAGGTCAAAATGATAGTTTGGATGTAATTAGGGTACGAAATAATTTGTTGCTTTCAACTCAAATGCCGGTCAACTTAAAGAAATCAAATTTTAGAGGAACTTTGAAAGTTTTTGTTTGTTTGCAGACAAATCTAAAAAGGATGAGTAGAAAGCCTGTCTGAAAGGAGTTATGCAAGTTTGAAAAATTGAAAAGATCAAATTATTATTTTGTCCCATTGTTTCCAAAATCCTCAGTATGGCCGGTACTGGGTGTCTTGGGTTGCCGCTGGTCACCTGCCCTGGCCTGGGCAACCTGGCGGTATTCGGTAAACATGTGAATCGTGGAATGTTTTTTATATAAAGATGATTATACCACGATTTGTTTGGCTCACAGTCTGGCCTTGGACGGGTGTGAAATATACGATAGTAAATAATAGCCTTTAGAGTGCTATATTTGGCCTAAATAGGTTTTCATGTGAGATATGTAATCATCCTAATTTATAAGGGTAACATTCTAATTTTTGGTCGATGTTGAGTGTGTCATCAATAAAATCTGGTCTTTCTTGGCGATACTCCATCTAAAATGCCCACCAAATGTGTAGCTCACTTTATTAACTTGAGAGATAATCTTAATTTTATAATTTTTCCTAAATAAATTGAATTCCCTTTAAGTTCAGAAAAGTACCCAATACAACACGAAAGCACAACTCCAAAAGCAAACGATTCTTCTCCATACTTCATGCATCAACCTATGCGTACCAAATGAGAAAAAATAGACTGAAAGTTCAGAAGTGCAGTTGATCAAAGATCACGAAGGCAGATAGAGAGAGAGGATGCCGAGGGAGTGGTGAAACATGTTTTAAATCAGTAGATCAAAATATCTGACTGTAGGGGTGTGGTTTCCTATTGTTGTAAAAGAATTTATACCATCCCCGTCCCAATCCTCATCGTTTTCAACTGACACTACCCTTTTAAAATGGCTGCCTTATATGATGCATGCAGGCTAGTAGATGAACAATTAAAAACAAATGTTTATCTCTGAATTTTATTTGTAAGTTGAATATTATAGAAACATCAAAACGTAAAGTTATCTTGGTAATAAGATACCAACTCACGGTGGTAAGAAATTTAGATGTGCATATTCATCACTGTTGTTTGCAGTATGGCATTTTATTATCTTCAACAAAATAGTTGGATAGCATGCAGAAAACTAAACCTCTCCATCGTTTTTGTGAAAACCGAAATTAGACAGAATTTAATTGATCATAGGTTTCAAATTTTGAAAAGCCTTCCAAAATTGTCACAAGAGAAAGAAATATTCTCGATGAAAACGATCGAATTTAGTGGTAAATGTCTTTTTATTTTGAATGACAACATCCACTCATGTGACTGAGAGGTTTTCGCACCTTTTCTCTTTCTTACGTTCCGCGGGCTTCAAGCTTGTTCCCGTCGATTATTTATTCTATATCACGTGATTTGGATTTAGATATGTTCTAAGCTGTTGTCAGGAATGATGACAGTTGTACAATGGGAACAGAGTGCACGTTTCTGCAATTCAATTTGTTACCCGTGTTGCACTGCTTGATCTTTTACCCTCAACTTGTACAATCTGGTTCACGGAGATGGCTAGTGATGGGGCTAGTGGAACAATCGGCAGAACAATAGTCATAGAAGTAGTCATTAAGAAGTACAGGTATGAAAACCTGCATTTGTACAGAAATAGATTCGCACCTAATTTTTTAAAATATAATTTATACACAACACTGTTTCTTAGTCATACACAAATGCAAATATGAATATACGAAAAGCAATTAGCAGGCTTTGATAACTAGACACTTTCTGATATTCTAACTTTTGTTTTGTTTGTAGTAAGACGCACCACTTCTATCTCCTTCAGATTCATATTAAATCACAAAACAATAATTTACTTCAGCAATAAATCGGTTTACGTTTGCTCTATTTTCCAATATCAATGATGAATGACACTAGTTTTGTCTGACAAATTCCTATCCCACAGTAATTACAATCTCAAAAATGTTTTATTAACTTATGAAAATTATCAACTGGTAGAACATCACCCAATGGTTTTTATTACAGTGATAGAGTATTCAGAACTGTAATTTGCAGAGTAAAGTTTGTAATGATTTATAATACAGTGGGCAAGATTCAATTCAGGTAAAAACCAACTAAAGTTTAAAATCTATACACTACGTGCACCAGCAGTGTTATTGGTATAATCTCGATGACCTCAAAGTACAATCGCAACATTGCAAAACAATCAGTTCACTGTCAATCATGAATTTAGAACAGCTCTCTCGAACATGTCTACATCATATTTGTAGCTAGGCATATTTTAGTCCTAAATGAGGTCATTTTTCCAAGGTAACATCTTTGGGTCACTAAAAGTGGTTTCCGGGCGATCAATAACAAACTCAGTGACCTGATTGCGAAATATGATCGGCACAAATTTTCTCATCTGGTATGATCGTGATTGGAAGAAAAATGTAAGCAAACAAAAATCATGGGTTGTATTTTACAATGTCGATGATGTTTTGCCTTCGAAAGAATCAGTGTATTCGAAAGCATTCTTTCCTAGATGAAGTGAAAAGTTGTTAATATTGGCAAGCAGAAAATTTGTATTATTGTATAGATATTTACCGAGATTCGCCGAGAAATAATGCGGTTGTTTTTGTTAACCATTCTAGACAAGTCAATATTGAAGTGACTGATCGTTGCGATTTTACACCACTGATGGCCGTGGCCAGCCGAAATCTGAAAAAGTAAGTTTCTTTTCTGTATCAACTGGAATGCTATAAATAAAATCTGATCAGTCTGTAAAATCGAGCAGAGGAACGTCCAAAGCAGTCATTTGTCTTCGAATAGCTCAAGCGAATTGTAGAACAGATCTAGTAGCATTTGGTTGCTTAAATAATAATACAATATGTTTGACTCATTCAGAGAAATGTTTGAGCACTAGAAAAGCATATGACTGAGGTCAGTTACCCTAATTTGCTCTTCTTTCCTACAGTCTGTCTCGAAACAGACACAGAGAAGCGTGTATCACGGTTCATTAACCCCCCCACACACACACACACATACACACACATGAACACATTGAGAAGTTAACCGATCGCAACAATCAACTCCGAATGCATAAGCTGAATACTCATTAGATGTGCGTGATCAGCATCAGCATTTGCCTAACCATGCCCATTGCACGTCAGTTCTGTCTGGAATCGGTATGACAACATGTGTCCCATTCAGCTTCTTCACCGTTAACCAATGACAAAACAGAATCCCTTTCATAATAAAGGTTTGTTGGATAAAACTCGAAATGGGATTGTATCGCTTTTCTCATACACTTGTAATCAATCATTCCAAATTCTTCATCTTAAGTAGCAATATTGGTGGGCTGAGTAAGAATTTTTGTAATTTTTCTTGACAGAAATTAACCCACAGGGACTTAAACTCTGACCATAAATTTCATTATTTAAAATGATCTTTAATAACAACAAAAACAAACATAGTATCCTTCATTAAAACTTTTAAAAATAGGTTCACAGATCGTGAACAAACACACAAAACATATTTTCAAAGGGTTTGAATTTCCTCTGTTGTTTTAACTAATAGTTCCTGGAATTTTTCGTTCATTTTGCGTGATTCTTATTGGCTGGGAGGATAACATCCTAATCATGCACTCACTGATCACCACCTGTCACATACCATAGACTTGATTAGATGTAACTTAAATTTTTCCAATTTTTTTCGCATCATAGTCGATGGATGGTGATTGGTACATTGGACCTGATGCAGTCTGTAATTCACTTGATTAATGTGTTCCGTCAGCCAGACTCCTAAAGATCCAGTGAACTCTTAAATTCTGAGATTTGGCACATGCTGCGATTTGCTAATGTGTCTTGCACAAAAAACTGTGTATTTTTTCATTAGCGTCGTTCACGAATTTTCAAAACTTCCATAACTTGAACTTTATGTTCCATTTTTTTCATCACTATCTTGTCATTGTTCAGTATTATTTTGCAAAATCTCCTGTAAATGTTAACTAGAATCAATTCATTATCTTGCACGTTTCAGTCAATGAAACTTGTTGGAACTTCCTTCCTATACGGAAACAGTTATTTTACCCAACCGAGCAAAAGTATCTCCGTGGAATAAGAAAGTCTTCGGGACCTTTATGAGATTAGCATCCAACTTTGAGCAAATCTGTAAGGATGATTAAACAGCAATATATATATACATATATAGTTACAAACATCTCCGTAAGCCGCACTTAAGATAACTAAAAGGGTGATATTCCTCCGTACGCTCAAAGCAAACCAGTTTTACAACAATTCAAGTTTACTTGTTTGAGGTTTATTCATCGTTAGTAATATAACTTTGGATCGTTGGTAACGGTTTACTCACAAAGGCCATCTATTAAATAGTTTTTTCTTTCTTCCACAGGAAATATTTGTTTGGTACAAAATAATTGCTTCCATTCTCACATACATTGAAAACATCAAACTGACAAAAGTTTTTTGTTCACTATTTTTCTTGTGGAGCATGGTTCACATTTTAATTAAGTACGGTGCCAAACCAAATACCACAAACAAGCTGGGAAAAACCGCCTTGATGATTGCTTCAAATAAGGGGTATACGGAAATCGCAGAGTATCTTTTGAGCCACGGAGCCGATCCGAATATTCGAGTAAGTCCTTTTGTTGATTATTATCTTGAATTCAGACTTCCTGACTCATATCGAGTTTAATTATCATCCTTTGTTTTGACTCCTGGTATTCTGCTACTATTACTTTGAGTGTTAACTTACGACATTATTGCTAGGGTTTGTAAAATTTTGTGTTCGTTCTCAGAATAATTAGCAGTACTGATCGTAAATGTTGACAAACGAATCTTTGTTTAATTCATGCTTGTTACACATGCTCTCTCTTGCTCTATACCTTTTTCATTTCAAAATCTCTAACCATACCTTGTTTGTTAGATGTGAATCTCTCCTTAAAATCTCCAACAAAGACATTCGAACTTTTTGGCGTTTTCAGTCCGTGTACGTTGTTCACTTGAGAAACGGGCTAGATTGTGATTTTAATAGCAGTACACTTTTTAGTTTCATTCTACCTTAGAAGATTTAAGTTAGAAAAGCATTGTTTGGTATCACGTATTCTCTTTCGATCTATAAGTAGTGAAATAATGTGTGCATCTATAATAACACTGTTGCGTTCATTTGTGAGACATTTTGCCAGTGAAACAAGGATTTTGCCAACAAAATCGATTTATGTACTAAAGGTCAATCTAGAGTAGAAAGTATTTCATTATCCAAAGTGAGTTTCTTCCGAAAAGAAAACTTAATGTTTTATTAATTTTATGTTTCCGTGGCATTTGTTTTTCACTGCACCCTATTCAACGTCAAAGTACAAGTTTGGTTCACAACTTGCTGATCGCATTCGCGGCTTTCGCTGGTTTAAGTTTGGTCATTCCAAGCCAGTTCCGGACGTTTTATGTTACCAGTAGAGTCGAAATTTAGCGTATTAGCTCTAATATTCCATCCAAGAGTGAAACTCAATGAGTTTTGGTGAAAACAGTTTGTAATTAAATACCACGATTGGATCTGCGTAGAAAGTATTTTGTTCGGATAGTCTCATTAGGGAAATGAAAATAAAAAAGTTACAAGAAGTTACGTATGCTACAAGAAGTTTTTCCACTACAACCCATTGGTGTAGAAATGAAAGCATTTATTGCAAAGAGAAAAAATTATTCTGCCTCATAAGCTTCAAACGGAGGTGTTTTTGTCATATAGTTGTGTACGGCCTTTTGTAAAACACTATCAACTTCTGAATAAACCTGTAACGTTTTTCACTAACGCAAGTGATGGGTACCATTTTACCGACGAAACGTAAAGCCAGTAGCAAGATAGAATTACCTTCTACAAAAGACGTGTAATAAATGAAAATAGTCTAGTAAAATTCTCCCTCGGGAGAATCGTGGTCAAATGATATTTTCTAGAATGCCTATTCGCTCGGTAAATCAAGAGAGATTACACGAAAATCTGGGAGCAGTACAAATAAAAAGACAACCAAGAAGGGAAAAACCTGTACACACACCCTTCCCGGTTCTGGAACCGACCAGCTCAAAGGACATCGAGGTGTAAACGGCATCTTGGACATTTGACTCCGTCCAAAGGGTGTGTGATCCGATTAAATGAACACTAGCTCCCGATAGATGGTGGTTTTCTCACCACCTTGCTGTCTTACATATCCAACTTTGACTAACTGCAGTCTCCGACTGTGACTACCGTAAAAAGATTCACCTGCATTGACCTGGGCACCCGGCTAGCATTGCGCCCATAGGCAAATCATGGACCGAATTATTCGTTATAAGGATTGACGTACCGTGATTTTGGCACACAGCTTAGACTTGGGCATGTGTGAAATACAACAAGCTAGTCAACCAACATTAAAAACCTCTGAAGTCCAGGTTTACAACTGGAGGTATTACCGACCAGGTCCGTAGCCGGAAGACTACAGAAAGACAGACGAAGATTTTACCAGCCGGTGACTTCCTTCATCGTCAACTTCAGTTTTCATAACCATTAACTACGCGCTTTCGTGCACCCGTTTTGGTTGCTGCCTTTTGACAGCCTATTTGGATAAAAGAGTAGAATGAAGTTTGGAATTTTGAGGAAAAAATAGAGAATTCATACAAACTGGGGTTGAAAGAATATTCAGTAGACGCACGAGCGCCACTGTTTGCGATGCACAGCCATATCACTCAGTGTCTCTAACCTCCGGTTACAAAGGTTTTCTCGGGGTCTCCATCCAGGGAGCCTGATGCGTCATATGTGACCCAAAGTACGGGTTGGGTTTTTAAGCCCTCTTGCTAGGTCTTAGTCTGACCGCCCTCAACTTTTTTCATTTCATTTTCATTTCATACTCATTTTTACTCCCGTTTATCGAATTTATAAGGATACAATTTTCAGGAAGGGGGAGGTAACCAATCAAATGGCTGCCATACAACATCTATTGGGGTACGCCGTACGATGGTGATGTGATTCGATTAAACGTCCTCCGGAGAGATAATTTTGCTGTCGTTACCACTGGGTCACCACTGCTCCGGCAAACATCGCTTATCGTGGTAAACTATTTGGTGACATGCGCAACACGTGTCCCAACCAGCATAATTTATGGCGGTCGATTACTTGCTCCAGTGGAAAATCGTGATTACCAAAACCTCTGCCTGCACCTAACCTTATCATTGCTTTCCCAGCAAACTCGTGTATTTGTTTATTTTCACAAACGTCTGAGTTCGGACCGCGTGCCAAGCAAACCACGGTACAATACTCTTCAGAAAAAGAAATAATAGCTCCATAATTTGCTTGTGAGCGCGATACTGCTGGGTTTCTCAGAACAAAGCAGGTGGATTTTCTGAAGGGATTCGCCACCGGAGCCTTCGGTCAAACAAAGTCTGACTCACAAAGTAGCGAAAACCGCAGTCCGTTGGGGGCTGAATTCCAGTCCATCAAATCATACACCCTTTGGACGAGGTCAAATATTCAAGGTTCCCACACACCTCGATATCCAATCAAGCCGGTAATCACTACAACCAACAGGTGTGTACGACTCTTGGTTGGTTTGGAAACAGGTTTGTAGGTCACTTTTACCAGGTGAACTGCCAGGGGTCCACCGACCCGGTTATAGCTCCTCTTATTGCATTTTTGTCCTGTCACTTTGGTAGGAAAACACTTCTGCCAGCAGAAAGCACTGAGTGAGACATCCTCTGTAGAGGCTACCTGAGACGCTTGGTAGTGTGGAAGAATCTCACGAGGTGCAAGAGAGGGGTGATCAACCGCAAACCCCGATTATACTGAGGCTTTTGGAGACGAAGACAGTGGTGTTCAAACACCGACACTCTATTTTGAGGGTGATGACGATCCGCCATGTCAATTAGTGTCTCTATCCACCATTTACTATCATCCTGAGGTCCCCAGGGCGGAAGTCTAACGGGACGCATGTGACCTAGTCTCCCGGTTAGGGTTTTCATAGCCTTGTACCAGGTCTTAGTTTGAGCACTCTTGGCATTTTGCCACCCACAACCTACCTCAGCTAACCTCGCTCTCCGTGGCAACCTATTTGGCGACATGCGTAACACATTCCCTAAACGACGTAATCTATAGAGGTCGACCCCTTGCTCCACTGGACACCCGCGATTACCTAAAACTGTGTCTAACCTCAGCATTGCTCGGCCGGCTTCCCCACCAGATTCATGCAATGCTGCGCAGGCAGTGGTGTTCACAAACCGACGATCTATCTTAATCCATTTTTCTTAATGGCCAAGTANCGAACAGCTGCGGCGTACACTCGACTCTTCACAGATAGTCGGATATTGCGATGGAGCCAAAGATGTCTCAAGCTTGTAGTACTAATCGAGTCTTCTGTATGCGACATTTCATCCGTGATACGTTCACCAGATGAGATATAGCTTCCCAAATAACAAAACTTTCTCACTTGTTCTATTACTTCCTCAGTTAGAGTGCGCCTGGGTGATGGACCAACCCATTTTGTCGCAACATTTTGCACTTTCAAGGTGCAAAACGCATACCGAACATGAATACGCTGACACTCAAGCTNTTCAGAAAAGCTTGTAGCTTATCTGGATCTTCATTTAGCAGCACAATAAAGTTCGCATACTCCAGATCAGACAGTCTACCACCCAGGAGCAAATCGATGCCAGTCTCCGCGTAGGACGACAAGACTGTTTTGAGCAATGGCTATCGCGAGAGATTTGTTGCAAACAGTCTATATGAAAGAGCCAAAAGACCAATAGTGACTACGGTAACCCAAAGGAAGTCTATATACGTCTTCCTTTCGAAGGTGACTACAAATGCGATTTGTTAACAAGACGACTAGATAAGTCGATCGCTGGAACGTTTCCTGCGGCCCGGTTACGTACACAATTCATCAGCCGATCTTTGTTGTCATTGCATCTCAAAGATAAATTGCCTGTCCTCACTTCCTCCATGTTGACCTATTCTTTTGTTTGCCCATGTTCGGCAAGCTACCTAGGAAGGACGATCACTAAATGTATATAAATGTATTAGCCAGAGAATGAAGTTATCAAAAACGAGCTTGTTCGCTACTCGTGTTGTTCTGTCAATGTCACGATGGGAATTTTCAGTGAACTAAATTTATGACAAAGTTAAATAGAAAAAGGGAGTTAGGGTAGCCCTGACGAACACCACTTTCTGTAGGGAATTCGGGCGAAAGTGTGCCGTAAGCTCGGACTCGGCTTCAGTTATTAGAATGAAGGGGTTGTAATATTGAAATAAATTTCTCGGGCACACCCTTCAGAACAAGGCAGCACCAGATTATTGAGCGTTCCATTAAATTTAAATCCGCTTAAAGATCGAGGAGGACAGAATTGGCGGGTCTACGAAAGGAGGGGCTTTAGAAGTTGACAAACAGTGAAGATGTGGTCTATACAACCTCGGTCAGGTCTAAAACAAGCCTGGTTCTTACGCGTGCATTGTTCACGTGCGGCAGACAGTCGACGAAGTATAATACCAGCGAGGAGTTTAGAGACGATAATGATTAAACTAATTACTCTGTGATTTTCACAAAAGGATCTGTCACCTTTCTTGTAAATCGATATGAACACAGATTCATACAATTCAGTTTGAACCTGTTCCCTCTACCAGACCGAGCCCAGGAGTTTCGTCGTCTCCAAGACTAACGCTGAGTTTCCATCCTTAAAGACCGATGGGAACAGCCCATGTGGGCCGGAGGCCTTATACCTTGTGAGATAATTAATTGCTCGGGAACCCTCCATTTTCGATAAGGGACTGGCATCAATCAACTGGGATTATTTGCCCATTCGAGGTGGCTGATTATATGTCAGATGTCCATGGGTTCCAGTTGAACTAAGTCTTGGAATGTTCAGCTCAACGATCAAGGCGATGTTGCTGATGACGAGTCAGTGTGCCATCGGATTCGTTGATTACTTCATTCAGGCCTTTCTCTGGAGGTCAATCATACTTAATGATGCACCAAAGCAATTAACCAGTGCTGTTCTTAACCTTACTTGTACATTTTAGCATGGAGCACGGTGAATTAACGTTGATAATCCACATTTACCTTTGACTAGTAACTGACATACGGTATACAGTTCACCCTTTCCGCGGTTTACCTTTCTCCCGTAGTTAAGAAACCTATTTTGGAGTCCAAGAGTAAAGCAAAATATCCGTCCCAAACGAAGCTGGTGGCAGCCCAGAAAGTCACACCATCCAATAGCTTTTGAAGACATCTTTCAAATTATTAATCTCCGTTCGAGGCAGAATTGACGTAAAATTTTATAAGGGTATTTAAGGTCTAATTTCAATGGAAGCCATTTGAACTGCACCGTCAAATATTCCGGTCGTCGTTGTTGATGGCGATGGTAATTTAAACCAAATAGCCGTATGAATCCTTGATTACCTCGTCACGCCATAGATTTGGGCATCATTACTCCTGGTTGTATGTAAAAATTGTAAAAGATGTCAAACATGGACCCCTTTTCCCCTTGTGGGCTTGCAAAAAACGGCTTGAGGAGGACATTGCTCATGGGGTCCTTTGAAGATTGACTGTTTTGGAGGTAACAAGAAAGCTCTACTTCCGTAGTCAATTTGAATATCAAGAACTATGGGCACCGGATTCCACGAATTTTAATGTGGTTTCGTTCTGAACATAATCTAAATCCGGCTTGAAACTGATCATAGTCAGTGTAGGCACGTTTAATATTACCATTGGCTCTCCAACATGGATACAGGCCAACCGCGACCAATGGCTGGCGGTCGATTTGCGTTCATTGCTTTGAAAAATCGCCACGTCAGGTGAAATCAATTTTAGGTTAATTTTAGGTTCATCAGAAGCAGCCCTTGGTTTTTGTATAGTCGTTACGGATGATCATCTTTCCCCGCTTGATTGGATATTATCTCATATCGAAGACGTAGTTTATCATTTGTTATTCAACGTCAGATCTGTATCTTTTCAGGATTATTTGGTTGTAATAAGCCATATATTTGGTGGAAAGTATCAAAAGCGAGATGAATTCTTAATAACCCACCGCTGGAAATCCCTACTTTCAATCTGAAAAGTGACGCATTGGTCTTAGAGCATACGCACCGTCACCGAAATGGTTAACCATTAATGATACTTGTCAACGATAAAGCAGCAGGGTTTGGTTATTCATAAGTACTCATAATTAGACAAAACCCAATCATGTAGTTTTATACTATCAGGTGCTCGATTCTACTCAAAACAGTTAGGTATAAGAACTCATAATTTCCCCTTGATAAACAAGGCTTCACATCATTTTCATGATCTTTGTCTCTTCATTATTTCAACATTCTTCTGTACAGGATATAAATGGAATGCATGCAGTATTCTACGCCGTGGACGGGGAATACGGCAACATCGTTCGAATCTTGGTAAAGAGTGGCGCCAAAATCGACTTAGAGGATTACGACAATCACTGGACTCCTCTCATACGACTTGGTAACTCTATGATATCCTCTTGATATGTTAGCAGATTTCGATTTTATTTTTAATTTTTCTCAGAAGTAAAAGTTTTGGAGTTTTGGTAAAATTGAAACCCCACAGAGAGATGCGGTCTTAGCGATTGCTACGTCGAGCTACTGAGTTGCCTCTAACTTTCATTTCAATTTATTCACAAATTTCACTGTCAAACCTAATCCATTAATCAGTCTATAGGGTGGCCTTTACATATACAACTTCCCCGTAACGTGACGTATATCAACGGCTGCTATTTGCACTTCAAGTGGAGAACTTTATTAAATGACTCAATCTTCCTCTATTTTACATTTACAAGCCAGCAATTTTCTCTGTTTCTGAGAGTTGACTTCTTTCAAGTCACCTATTCAAAAAAAGGAAGACTGGTTTGTATTACTGTCTTCATTGTAAACTAAAAATAACTTGAGGAGAAAATCGAGCGTATGTACGGGCCTCATGACGTATGATTCAGTCTCTAAGCACCCAGTATTTGTTCATCGGCGATTCTAGTTCCACCTTTGGAAATGTTATATCACTTGCATGCTATGGATCATTGACTGAAATTGTGTCAATTTTAGAAAATATTCTAAGAGAATACCTATTTTTACACAAATCATCCTTTGCTCCGTGTCCTTCCTTATCCTCGTAACAGTAAAACTTATATTAGTCATTTGGTCAGGGAATAATTTTTCGACTGGGTGCAATCAAAAAGCTAAAAGCTCGTGTACAGCTGGATAAATCCCAAATATGAGAACAAAAGTAAAACGTATCAGCATTTCTCTCACCATCTCGTTTGTCATCCTATAATCGAACCAGGCTTTCTCCGCACGATTCACGCTAACCTTCTTTCTGAAGCCACCTAGGGAAACACTTGTGTGTAACCGCCTCTGTAGGGGCTCGATTAACACCAGTCGCATTGGTAAATACTCCAAACAAACTCCGTTTAACACACTCAAAAACAGTGCATATTGTCGAACTCAGTTGTATTGTGCCATTCATGCTGTATACCGCCGCACCTACTACCCGGTTTTCATAGTGATGTTGAAACTAAGTTCCTCGAGTGCCAGTTGATCCTAAACTCTAAAAATGACGGCTGTAAACAGGTGAGCTACAAAGCATAAGAGAAATGAATGGTTGTGGTTATGTTCCATCTCTTCAAGGAAGGTGGTTCAAGGAAATGAGGTACTTTGTCATTATAGACTCTGACGGTACTCTGATTCGACCGACAACACACCTTTGGGCAGGATCAGGGAATATCAAAAGCCTCTTGTGATGGAAGTTGACAAAAGCAATGTTTCCAGAAAGCGCCATGGTAACGATATGCAAATAGATACGAGTTTTTCATTTGAAAGTAAGATAGTCTAAACCGACAAATAGTCTCAAGATCAAACAGGTCGTTCACTTTTACTTTGAAAGATTTGGACTCTTCCTATGACTGAATTTAACCAAGCTTTTACTTGAATGTGCCAACCGCTAATAAAGAATTCATGGTATTCGATACTGATTGATAAAAACGCAAAACCTTTTGGCTGTTTATTTGACTTTGAACCGTTGATAATTGTTGGGGTTGTTTCACATTGATTGTCCACACACGCTAACAGTGTGTATAAGTATCATGCCAGTATTCGGTACGGCCGACTTTGTGGGCTCTATCTTCAATTACTATCAAAATTCAAAATTCTGATCTCACAAACTCGATAGTTTTACTTTTTAATGTGAGTAAATACAGACAGATTACTCATCTGTCACTTACTTTTCTGAATTATTAGTGGCACTGGCCGGAAACACATTTACCAGTTGAGTTTTCTCCGTACGACGGAGTCTATGGAGGTCGGGAGCTAGAGCTAGTGTACTACCGCGATGACTTGCAGTAATTTCTTCGCTTGTCATACCGGATTCTATTAATAAGTTTCAAATAGTATTATCAAACTACTAAAGATCTCTCTTTGCTTTTTGGTACATCGCCGTGAAATTAGATCGAAACTAGCAGTAACAAACAAATGTATTGTGTTCCCCGTTATTGCACCTACTAAGGCTGATATAGATTAATGGCGATTCATGGGCCTTTTTCACTATATGATGAATAACCCAACAAGTTTAAAAGCTGCACCTAAAATATTCGCGCAACAATTTTTGACGCTTCAACACAACAAATAAAAGTGGACAATTGAACTCCCAAGCCTTTCTTGCACACCTGGTCATTGTGGAGACGCAAACTTTACCGATACTTTCCTGTGCTATCTGAAAATTATGGAATTATACTGCTATTTTCTATCAAATTGGTTCGCGTTTTCGAGTGCTGTTTTAATGCTGGTGTTTGCATGTTTGAAAACGAAATAATGTGATGGAAAGCTCATTTTCAGTTATTCGTAGTCATATAAAAAAAAACTCAAAATACGTTCAACAAACCCAGTGTACCGTACCCTATTTAATGTTGAGTCCATAAACATTCCAGTTCACAGTTCCTTACCCCACCCCCAGGTGAGTTCAGTACAAATTCTTGCAAGCGCTTGATCCATTTCTTCCTACCCTATACGTCCACAACCGGCTTCATGTTTGACATCTTGACCGATCTAATACATAAACACACGAACACCCGGTTGGATTCAGATTTGTGTCATTCAGATTAGAACCGGTCGCACGCACATATACGAAATGAGTATGCCAAGCATATTTTATGCTATGCATTGGCGTGGTTACGAATGACTGAAACCTAGATCAATTATCACCGTTTATTGTTATCAATGTACCCTGCGGGAGTTTTCAAACTTTTAAGAAAAACTAGATACCCTGTGGTTATATATTTGCCAGAAACATATTCAATTTGATTAATCTCTTCATTTCTTCCCCTCGCTCAGCCTGTCTTGCAAACAACGGGAACGCCAGAGTAGGAGCTGCTCTGATTGACTGTGGAGCGAATGTCAATCATCGCGACAAATATGGTCAGACAGCCCTAATGCACTGCGCGTTTCATCGGAATCACGTGGATCTGGCAAAGCTTCTCCTGGCACATGGTGCTGATCCAGATATCAAGAACAATGTGAGTCTCGATCTTGTGTTCTGACTGCCAGTACAGAAACAACAAATGTAATGACTGCTTGTTCCACCGCCTAATCAAAGCAAAAACACTGCGGTTTAAATAGAGATGAGTGGATATGCAATAATTGTAAAAAAAGCCACTCAATTTTAACTAAACAAAGCACTTTGAGACAGCACTCAAGCACCAAAAGATTAGCATTTACCAACTTGAAACATCTGTGGCTCCGACCCGAGATAATGCTATTCATGAAGGGTCGAGTGAAAGTTTCTACAGTTCGGCCAGTTCTACTATACGGTGCAGAGACTTGACAGTTACGAAAACAGTATAAAGACAGTGTTCGAACACCTGGTATACGTCGCCGTGCACGAGTCTGGTGGGGAAACCAGACAAGCAGTGCTGAGGTTGGGCGCAAAATTTTCGGTATTCGGGGTCGCCTAGAAGGACAAGTGGTGAACCTCCATAGATTAAACTAGTTAGGACGTGTCATCAAACAGATCATCATTACTCTTGCTGGTTTCCGAAATAACTGATGGGTGGAAAAATGTAGAATGGTCAAGCCCAAACCTAACATGAGGATATGACAACCCTAACAGAGAAGCTTGTTAATATAAGTTCCGTTAGGCTTCCTGGATGGGGAACTCGGAATCACTCTAATCAATGATTAATAATAATCAGTGAGTGTCGTGAATAGTGGCAATCGTTCATCTTCTTAATTTATTTGGAACCTTAGTTTTGATTAACTCTCCACTTTCACTCCGACATTGATTTGAACATCCCAATCTTCCCTCTACTCATTCATCCAAGTGGGCGGTTATGATATATCAACCAAAACCGCGGTACATAGATTTATGGTTAATTCTTGCAAAACAGAAACTGGGTTATATTTGCAAGTCGGAGTTTCTCAAATGAATCTGACTGGCTGCATTTGCAATTGCATTCAGATCATTTGTTTCTACATGCTCCAATTAGTAATTAGTACCTTGTTACAACACACTGACGGTATGATTTCCGGACTCAACC